TATTCCCCCCCCCCCCCCATTGATATACACGCGAAGGATACATGTATAAACAGGTTAACAAAGCTACACACCGGTTTTAGGCTTTTGTGTAATGCCTTTCTTAAAATGACAAAAAATTCAGATGGCTGCATATATTTCTGACACAAGAGTTTCTGATTATTACTGAAAAGTATTTAAAAAGTAACTAAATTGCAATAAGGTTTAAGGTAGAACCGTTGAAGTAAACTAGTGTTTATAAAATATAGCGTGCATGCTTATTTTTTCATTATGATCGAAATTCCAAAACAAATCGAAATAGGCGACTGTTAAGCAAGTATATTTTTTGTTTGGCTTTATAGAAGTTATTATATTTACACATTTGTCATTGTTAGTTCTGTTTCCAGGTTCTTGCTGATTTTATTTGTTTACGTTGACCAGGCTTTCTTGCAGTTCTTGGCGCTCTCGGCCATATTAAGCCTCAGATAGAGTTCCATGGTTTCTCGCCATCGTCAGGTCTCCATGTATCCAAGATGGCGGAAGCAAAATTTTTAGCTCCGCTAAATATTTGATATTTTTTCTATAAATTGTGCTTATTTTTGTTGAATTCTATCTTGATTTACATCGGAAGTTTATTATTATATATTACACTATCTATTGAAGTACATTGTATGATGCCACCTAAAAAGAAAGAAGCTAAACAGTCGCCAGACTTATCGCTTGTTGGTGACTCCATTGATTCGTCATTGCCTTCAATCCAAGCCTTTAAAGACATGCTTGACAGTCGACTCAACATGCAAGAAAAAAAGATTGAAGCCCAGATAAAGGATCTTAATGATGTTGTCCGCAAGCAACATAAAAAGTCTCAAGAAGAAATGCTAGTCATTCAAAATAGCCAAAATTTTATTGGTGCTAAATTCGATGAACTATTAGCTGCAGTAAACTCATTAAAAGAGGAAAACAATCAGTTGAAAGTCGAAAATGAAAAATTAAAGTACGAGATGAATCAAATGAGTTCGAAAATACTTGAGTTAGAGGAAGCGCAAGAAGATCTTAAATTATATTCTCGAAGGGATTGCCTGGAATTCCACGGCGTACCCGAAATGCCAAGTGAGAATACTGATGAGTTGGTTACTGAAATGTGTAAGTTAATTGCAGTCGACATTCAACCTTCTGATGTCTCAGTGAGTCATCGTTTACCATCTAGAAAAGGTACTACGCCTCCAATAATTGCTAAATTTACCAGTCGAAACATCAGAGATGCTGTATACCATAATAAAGGTCGTTTGAGAGGTCTCAACTCATCAAATTTTGTTGGTTTTTCGCAATCAGTGAATAAATTATATATTAACGAAAGCTTGACTCCTAAAGCCAAGGAGCTGTTTTATAAAGTGAGGGAATTCCGGAGAAAATATAATTTCAAGTATGCTTGGACCAAATATGGCAAGTCCTATGTGAAGAAAACTGATACTGATGCTGCTGTATCATTCAAATCAATGAAGGAGTTTGAGTTGTTCAGTGCAAATTTTACACCCTAGCTCTCTATGAAGCTAAGTAATTCTAAATAATTAATGTATATTAATTTTATTTATCATGCAGTCTTCAATGTCAATGAATGCTTTGCCTTTTCATGGTCTTGACGACTTTGAATTTTTCTTAGAAATGTTTGAGTTAAAAAACGGCCCTATTAATTTCAGTCAAGAGAGATTAATCAGTTTAAATTATAATCCATTGATTTCGGGTGCAGGCCATCGCCCCTTTCTGTCTAATGATCTGGACCCAGATTCACATTTTTATGATAATTTCGTTAACCACTGCGATTATTTTGTTGAAGATCAGTTTAACAAAATGTTAAATTCACAGATTTCCTGTGCTTCCAGTTTTTCATTATTTCATCTAAACATCCGCAGTCTTGAAAGTAATTTATCAAATTTAACAAACTTATTAAGTACTCTGAATATTGAATTTTCAGTAATTGGGATAACTGAAACTTGGCTAAAAAACTCAGAACACTCTGTTGATATTGAGGGATATAATTTTTTTCATAAACACAGGGTTAATAAAATTGGTGGAGGTGTTGGTTTGTTGGTTTGTACTTGTCGGATTGCTTTACCTCTAAAATACGTACTGATTTAATTTTTGATGATGATGATGTTGCGGAATCCTTATTTATTGAAGTTTGCATACCACATGGTAAAAATATCGTTATTGGAATAATTTATCGACCACCAAATCAAAATGCCAATTCTTTTCTAAGCAAGTATAATGATATAATAGGAAAAATTTCTAATGAAAATAAAACCTGTTATATAATGGGGGATTTTAACCTAAATTTATTGAACTATGACAGTCATTCCTTGACTTGTGAATTTTTAGATGGAATGTATTCAAATATGTTTATTCCTCTTATAACTTGTCCAACAAGAATAACAGCTCATACTTCAACATTAATCGATAACATATTTACGAACAACTTTTCTTCCATATCTACAAGTGGCCTGTTATTTACAGATATTTCTGATCACTTGCCTGTGTTTTCAATTAGCTGTGAAGGCATGAATTATTGTGATAATACAATGAAAAAATTACTTTGAGAGATAAAAACAAAACTAATATAAATAAATTCATTGAGCAATTGGGTAGTATTAACTGGTCCCAACTTAAATACTATGATGACCCTTACAATTCTTACAATACTTTTTTAGCTAAGTATACAGAAATTTATAACAACTGTTTTCCTTTAAGAAGAATAAAGATAAAACATCACAAGATTGACAAGCCTTGGTTATCAAAAGGTTTGCTAAGATCCATAAAAAGGAAAAATAAACTATATAAATAATATATAAGTGACCCAACTCTTGCTAATGAGATATCTTATAAAAAGTATAAAAACCAATTGACCCACTCTTTGAGAGTTGTTAAATCATTATATTACACAAAGAGATTAGAAAATGAGAAATCAAACATTAAATCTACTTGGAAGACACTTAATGAAGTCATAAATAAGAAGCGGTCAAAATTGAATTTCCCATCATCATTTAAAGTAGATAATTTTGAAATTTCTGATCCCATAGAAATTGCTAATAGATTTTGTAACTATTTCTCAAACATAGGTCCAAATCTTGCTAAAAGAATACAATCTACTCCTAACTCTCATCTAAATTCTCTTGTAGGCCAATATCCTAATTCCATATTTTTTAACCCGGCAACAGAAAATGAAATTATTGAGATTTCTAAAAGTTTTCAATCAAACAAAACATATGGATATGACAAAGTTCCCATGTTAATAATAAAGCAAACTATAAACATAATTGCTAAACCTCTAACTCATATTATCAACTTATCTATTACTCATGGTATTGTGCCAAATGAAATGAAGATTGCTCGTGTTATTCCCCTATTTAAATCAGGTGATAGAACACTATTTACAAATTATAGACCAATTTCTATTCTTCCTAGTTTCTCGAAATTTCTGGAAAGAGTTATATATAACCGGATGTTAAATTACCTAAATAAAAATAGTATCTTGTCTGAAAACCAATATGGTTTTAGAAAAAACCATTCCACTTCTTTAGCCCTGGTGGATCTTTATGATAAAATATCACTAGCAATTGATCAAAAAGAGTTTGCAGTTGGTGTATTTTTAGACTTATCTAAAGCCTTTGACACTTTAGATGACAAAATACTTTTTGAAAAGCTTGACCATTACGGAATTCGTGGATTAGCTTTGGACTGGATGAAGAGTTATTTCTCAAATAGAACACAATTCGTTCAATTTAATGATTACTGTTCCTGTCCTAATAAAATACAATGTGGGGTCCCACAAGGTTCTATCCTTGGTCCGCTGCTCTTTTTTAATTTATATCAATGATATAATCCATGTGTCAAGTATATTGGAGCTTATCTTATTTGCGGATGATACAAACTTATTTATTTCGAATAAAGATCCAATACAATTAACTAATATTTTGAATATTGAAATTAGAAAATTGTCAGACTGGTTTAAATCAAATAAGCTTTCATTAAACTTAGAAAAAACAAAATTTATTGTATTTAAACCAAGACAAAAGAAATATAATTATACTTTTCAAATAATCATTAATAATGAATATGTTGAGCAAGAGAAAGAAACTGTCTTTTTAGGGGTAGAGGATAATGAGGAATTATCTTGGAAATCACACATTTCGTATGTAGCACGTAAAATGTCTAAATCCATAGGAATAATGTTAAGAGCCAGTTTTTATCTACTTAAGAAATCCTTATTCACTTTGTACTATTCAATTGTTTACCCGTATATCCAATATTGTAATATTGTTTGGGCTTCAACGTATCCAAATAATCTTCATCGTATCAATATACTGCAAAAGCGAGCAATTAGAATTCTAAATAAATATAAATTTGATGCACATACAGAACCTTTATTTAAGAACTGTTCTATCCTTAAAGTTAATGATGTTCTTCTATTTCAACTGAGTAAATTTATGTACTCTTATCACAGTGGTCTTTTACCAAATAAATTTAATGATATGTTTGTATCAAATTATCAAGTCCACTCATATAATATAAGGAGTGCGATGGCCATTAGAACTCCATTGTGTCGTACAAATATCCGACAATTTTCTGTAAGATTCCAGGGTCCAAAGTTTTTTAACTCACTACCTATTGATATTATTAATATTACTTCTTTTGTTTCTTTTAAAAGAAAATTAAAAAATTATTTATTATAAAATAAATAATTACCTTATACATTAAAATGATTTTTTTATTTCTTATAAATCTATAACGAAATGAACGAATATTCTTCGTTACAGTGCGCCAATAGAATCAAGTGTGTACATATTTATAATTGGTGTGAATTTATATTTAATTATTATCCATTAATACCTACATTCATATTGTCCATAATTTATCAAATCTTGAAATGTTATTTGATATTTATATATACCCCTGATAAATGAGGAAGCTTAAATTTACATAAGCCTTTTGGTTTCTTTTTTAGGCTTCCTCGCCACTATTATCATTAATTATTGTAAATAATTTCTTTTTTCTTTACAAAATGTTGTAATGGTGGAAAATTAAATTATTATTATTATTATATTATTATTATTATTATTATTATTATTATTATTATATTATTATGTTGATTCCAGAGCAGTATATTTTTAATAGACATTAAAATGCGCGTTAATGGATTTTTAAAATCATATATCGGAGCCTTATGGCCAGAAATTACGGACATAATCAATTTCTTTCTGAATTTCTTATCATAGATCGAAAAGGTGGATTGCACAACGCGATGGTGTAATCGACTAATCTTGGAATAAGATAGAACGTTTGAAACCTCTTTTCATGATGGACATTATGCAATAACACGTCCGAAAAGCATGCTGGTAGTTGTATTCAGAATACGCAATAATGAAAACGTCTATTGAAGAATTTAGTCGCTAATTAACTATCCGGCTTTTTTGCTGCCGAAGGCAGCCTCCTATTCTTGACGAAGTGTTTTAGCGCATTTGAATTTCCCGCCAACAGTTTTATAAAGTTGAAGCGTATCTCGATTTTGTGTCGTTCTCGTCTTTGTCAGCAGTTGTGACGTCAAATTATGACGTAGCAGTAAGGAATTTACATTGGAGCATTATCATATTATACCTCTGATCATACCCCAGGAGTTCACAATAGCAAATCGATGACTGCCGAATACTTTGTTCAGCGGCTGCGAACGACGTACCAAGTATGGCGTTTAAAAATATTTTGATCAGCAAGCTTTGTAGCATTTTAACACGAAGTCAGGAGCGAAGCAAAGAGATACTTTGTATAAATACTGGCCTTATATTCAAGTTTTGTGAGAAAGGGAGATCGTTTAGAGGTTTTTCAAAAAATATCGAATACTATCGCCGTTTTGGGTTGTCGTTTCAAAGTAAGTTTATATCCTCACATGTTATATGTTGTATTGCTGTAGGTTATCGACTGTACACTCTGCAGTGACAGTGTTTTTGATATTTTGACAAATTAGAACATTTTTATCTCCTCTAGGTGTATTTTTTGGCGTGTGTTCATGGGGATCTTTTGGCCAAATCAAATGAAAAGGGGCCGCTCATATTATGTTTTTCAAAAAAGCAGTGAATTGTGAACTTGCTGTACCTGTACCAAACTTGCTAGCGATGTGTGAACTCGCTATATTTTATACTAGATAGTTTATACTAGCGAAGTGTGATCTCGTTAGCTGGGCAATCGTTGGCAATAATAAAGTTGTATACTGATTGTGTCAAAAGATCAAGCCAACAAGGTATTGTAGCTATATCAAATTTTACAAATATATAGGTTAATGTATGTCAATTATAAAATCGCCAATAAAATAGTTATATATATATATATATATATATACAGTAAAATGATTATTACTAGTATTAATATTGTTATTATGGGAATATGATATGCAGTAAATTAAAGCCCTGCATAAAAGAACCAGTGAATTTTGACTTTAGGCTGAAGTGGTTCTTATATAATCTTACTTCACACTATACTTTTTTATATTCTAAACATTAAATAGGGACTGTTGTTGCCCAAAACTATTGCTATGACACTAATATGGTTCTTGTTACATATATTAAAACTTGTTAATATTGCCCAAATTTCAGGCTAGTGGTTCTTAACCTACTGGTTCTTTTATGTGGGGCTTCACTGTATATTCTTGTTGCATATGTTAAAACTTGTTATTGCCCAAATTTCAGGCTAGTGGTTCTTAACCTACTGGTTCTTTTATGTGGGGCTTCACTGTATATCAATAGACCTTATGCATAATGACGTCTCAAGGCTTGATGCCTGCGAGGAATGCTGGTCTTAGTAGTCATCACGGTCCAGGAAAATTTAGATAGTGGCCATTTTGAATTGTTTAATTTTCCTGGGCAATGACTACTAAGATCAGCATTCCTCACGGGCATGAAGTCTTGTGACATCATTATGCATAAGGTCAAGTGAGCAGTATGATGTCCGAATTGGAACACACAATTGTATACGAATGAAAAATTATCTGACTTTTTTCCATAATGCTCACAATTTCTTATTATATATATAGTTTTGCAGTTCTGACTGAGTACAATTATAATCGTTTATACAATGAATGGTGTCATATGAAGCTGACATATTAAACAATTACAATCTTAATCATTTATACAATGAATGGTGTCATATGAAGCTTACATTACTAATACCTGGTTCACACTGGTCGTAAGAATCGGGGATTTCCAATTGTCTGTGATCATTGGTGTGTAAAATGCTTTGTCTGTTGGAAAAGAATACAATAGATCGCCGATAATTTACGACCAGTGTGAACCAGGCTTAAACAAAAATGTCAACAAAATAGATTTTGTCTCTCCATCGGCAGATTGTTCAGTTGTTCTGCGGTAGAGGTAGCCTTGAAGGTGCCACTAAAATGATAATAGGGACAAAAACTGACTTACAGGTTGTATTTCTATGTATGAAATTGTTATTAAATTGTTATTAAATTCTACATATCCAATGATTCATTCAAGTATTATTATCATTTGTTATATATGATATTGTACAGTATTTAGTGGCATGCAAGCTAGCCATAACAACTGGTTATGATATGCTAATAAACCTGCATCTATTTGAATAATGCAAATCATTAAAAACTTGCATAGCATGACCTGTAGACTTTTGCAAAGTCCTTCATCTTTGTTTAGAATGAAGGAATTTTCAAAGAAGTAATTTCTTGAAGAGTAAGGAATTTATGGAAGTCAATACAATTAGAGTATTTAGGCATTTAGCTGACCTTCAACTTTGTGCAAGGTGTTTTCGTAACTATTCAAATTGCACTTTCCCTACCTCCTGAACAGGCATCTTAAGGTCCATCTACACAATACGACTAGTCGTATACGATTCTTACCCTGGTGTATGAAAACGATTGCCGATGCCACTATTCCTGTTCATCAGTTTATGGGGAAGTTTGAAATTTGACATTTTTACACACATTTATTCAAGTACATATGCCAGGATAAGAATCGTATATGACTAGTCGTGTCGTGTAGATGGGCCTTTAGGGGTGCTTTACGTGCTTATGTGATGGAAGGCGGGGTGAGGCAACACTTTCTTTGCGATAGTAACTTCTAGTTTTATTTGTATATAGATTAATAATTAATATACTTGTTCATTTAGCGCAAGAATCAAATTTAATCCCACTTCCCCCAACCCGAGGACAGGTGTGCTCTGTATTTGCCACATTCCAAATACACACGTAAACTTCCACCTTGGGCATGACGTTTTAGACAAAACTCGACTAAATAAAACTTACCTCGCGCAGATGTGGATTACAAAAGACGTAAATTCCAATATGAACCATTTGCACGGAAGTCCACATTTTTCAAAATCGCAAGCATGCATGCATAAAACAGAAATTTGCATTCAAGCTCGCGCTGCGTTAGAAAAACATTATTTATTGCCGTGATCAAATGAATATATAGTACCTTGAAATGAGTTCAAGGTAGGCTTGAAGTGACAAAACACAGTTCGATTTGTGTTGAGTATACATGCATGCTGATAATAAACGTTCTTCACAGGATCTCAGTACCTCTAACCTGGTGACTCAAGGCACGCCCCCCCCCCTCTCCCTCACGGGTATTGGTAAGAAAGTAAAATAAAATCCCTGTTTCTGCCATCTTTTATTGGGTGAGGCACGGGAGCTAAAATTACACTACATTCGTCGCCAGACAGTTTAACAACCAGCGGCTTCGGCTAGTTGGGCTGACGAGCTACCTTATTCTCAGATTTTGTAATATACAACATCGACAGTTTGTTGTAATCTCAAATGGAACACACACGACAGAGTTACTAAAGCCAATTGCATGCTTGGTATGCTTAATAAATATCTACCTCACAACTGCTTGATCTCATCTTGCACATACCGCGCAAGTTTGGAGTCCACAGACTATCACCATGTGACTGTATGAACATAATAGTACTTTATTAAGCAAAATTTTAAAATTCTTAAATTGTCGGCTTTGATCGATCTTCTTGGCATCTAATTATCGATGGTGCTCTGTGGGAAGGTGATGTTATGAACAACAGCAATTTGTCACTGCAAACATTTCTGATCTTTTAAACTTAGAAAATATAGTACACATTAATTGGTTAATTGTGAACTTACTTGTTGCTTGGGTTGTTGAAGCAACTGTCATTTCTGATACAGCAGATTTTGCTATGAGAAAGATCACAGATTAGGCGCCAAGTTAACTACAAGCATAATAGCTACTAATTGATTTTTTTGTGGAACAATCTTAATTCTTAGCAAAGTTGCTTATGGCTTGAGTTGTTGTTCCACATGTTAACTATGAACATTATATATGCCTTGGAACATAGTATTTTGCTATAATTATTACGAAGAGTTATTATAAAGCATAAATTATAAATTTAAAAATGTTCTCCAAAAGCCCATGAAAAAGTGAATATAGAATTTATATTTATTGCATTTGATCATGATTCATTCTAATATCACGTGTGGGTTGCTTTGTCGTAACCTCCGTCTTTTTCGCCATAGATTTTGCTATAGGCAAGTTAGAGAGAAGAGTAATATTTAAAATAATAAAAATTTATATTCGTTGCATGAAAGGGTGAATATAGATCTTTTACATTGATTCATCGTGAACATACTTGTTGGTTGAGGAGTCGAACGATCTGTCCCACTCGATGTAATTATAAAAAAATAGCTATTTGAAAGCATAAAATTTAATATTCTTAGAAAACTGAAAGAACGAATAGATAATTTTTACATTGATTCATGATGGGCTGACTTGTTGGAACTTCTTCCTTAATTTTCCGGTGTAGATTTTTCTATAAATAGAAAATAGAGTTGTAAAAGCGTGGGCGTTAATTCGGAAATTCGAACAAATACTGGGAAAATTAAGAAATTTTGGGCAGGCTTATTATAGAAAATACGTTAAAATCAGCTTATTTCAATATACAGTTTATCATCAAAATTCGGGCAAACTTTCAACTGCCCCGTGTTAAGCATATAACATTTAGTAATGTTATAAAAAGTGAAAGACCGAATGTAATATAATTTTTGCATTATTGTCAACTTGGTCTTTGAGTTTTTAAACCTTCTCTATAACATATCTGCAATATATCGTTGCCTCTTTGAATGGGCTTTTAGCGATGGGTATGCATGCAATGCTTCCTATACTACTGAGCGGCACAATCTTGTCAAATTTATAGGTTTTTATAGACTAGCGTATCGCTATATAGAGAAATTTTGAATGTGTATTTGCTTATTATGAGAACATAATTTTCATATATACATGTATCTTTATGCAGTTATTGTAATATGTTAATTGAGCTTTTCACATTATGCCTGCTCCAAGCATAGCAGTTTGTTTACATATAATTTGAAAAAGGTATATGTTTAAATAGCAACGTTGGGCGCTTTGTACGAAATGTTCAACTGAAATGTCAGTTCAAAAGAAAATGTATAATTATTGTCTTGAAAATTGTTGAAAATCGCTGAGTTTTTCAAAATATTTTCACTACTCTACATAGATAAAATAATTAAATTACTTCACTTTATTTTAGCGCACTGTTTATCTCTCATACAGCGAATGCTGTTTTACAAAAAGTACTCTTTTCATATATTCACAAATAACGAGAAAAACTAGGTTACATTATACAAACTATTTAATGGAAATTTTGACTCCAGCTCTAAAAATTAAAATTATTTTAATTCAGAGGGAGTATGCAATGGACAGCTGCATGTCTAGCTAATCTAGCGCTCACTGCTCAGTGTTTAATAACGACGCAAAATGATTTAACCCCAATTTCCTTATAGAATCGTCTGCACGCATTCTTGAAAAAAAAGACTTTTTCGAATATCGAACATTAATGGTTCGAAAAATACACTAAAAAATCCACTATTTACAACTCTCAATACACTTAAGGATCTTTTATTCGTCTATAACGCTAGCACTTTATAGTGAATATATAGAAAATTCATAAGAGCTAGTTGGTTGTCTAAACATATACATATACATATACATATACATATACATATACATATACATATACATATACATATACATATACATATACATATATATATATATATATATATATATATGCAAAGAGACATTATTATATACGAGCATACATACATTACATATGGAGTTATATATATATATATATATATATATATATATATATATATATATATGTAAGAAAGAAAGAAAGAAGAAAGAAGAGTCTAATCAAAGGGTTAACATTCGTTGACACGCTGAAGGAACAAAGAACCTGAATGCTGGACTGGTATTCCAGTTAAGTATATATATATATATATATATATATATATATATATATATATATATATATATATTATATATATATATATATATATATATATATATATATATATATATATATATATATATATATGTAAGAAAGAAAGAAAGAAGAAAGAAGAGTCTAATCAAAGGGTTAACATTCGTTGACACGCTGAAGGAACAAAGAACCTGAATGCTGGACTGGTATTCCAGTTAAGTATTATATATATATAGATATGAGTAAAATACCGTAAAATACGCCACTGATATTTCCCGTATTTCACTGTAGTGAAATATGAAATCATATCTTACGCGGGAACGTCTCGCGCGGGGCCCACGCTAATTCCCGCCATTTTGCCGTTTCTGTTTTGAATATTCAATATGGCAAATTCTCGACATTTTGTTAATGTTTCCGACGCTGATTTGGCAAGGTTTTCTGAAGAAAATGAAAACGAAAACACAAAAAGGAAGATTAAGTCCGATTTGGCGATCTTCAGCGACTATTTAGCCTCTATAAACGAGCGGAGAGACATAACATTGTTGCCGTACGGTGAGCTACAAAACATCTAGTTGATGAAATTTATTTTGGCCATATAATAAAAAGAACATTTCACGGGGGCTTTGGAAATATGACTTTTATTTTCTCGTGTTGAAAACAATATTTTACTCACTCGCTGCGCTCGTTCGTAAAATATTGTTTTCACCACTCGAAAATAAAAGTTATATTTCCGCGCCACCGTGAAATATCCTCTATATATATATATATATATATATATATATATATATATATATATATATATATATATATATATATATATATATATATATAAATATTCCACATTACGTCCACAACAAATCAAACCATCCACCCAAAATACTAGACAACATACCAGCAGCGACCAACAAGCGCCTCTGAAATTTCATCTGATGAAGACTCGTTTCAGCGTGCAGTGCCATTATATCAAGAAGCCCTAACAAAGAGCGGTTATCGACATAAATTGAAATACCAACAACCTCCGACATCCCAAAATACCATCAACTCAAGGAGTCGGAAACGAAATATAACCTGGTACAACCCACCGTTCAGCAAAAATGTCGCTACTAATATTGGTCAGACCTTTTTAAAGATTCTAGACGAGGAATTTCCCGCAGGCCATATCTTACACAAGATATTCAACAGAAATACCGTCAAAATTAGCTACAGCTGCATGAGGAATTTTAAACAAAACATCGACGGACATAATAAATCCAAGCTATCCCACCGAGCTAAAACCACTGAGGAAAAAAAATGCAATTGCCAAAAACCAAGTGAATGCCCTATGTCAAAAAATTGTCTAGCAAAATCTGTTATCTACCAAGCCACAGTAAAAACATCTGACAAGCGGCCCACTCAAACATATGTTGGACTAACAGAAAATGAATTCAAAACTCGATACACCAATCACAAAGCTTCATTTAATAACTATGAGAAGCGTAATTCTACTGAATTAAGTAAATACATCTGGAATCTTAAGAACAATAATATTAGTTACTCTATCAGATGGAAAATTTTAAAAAGCGCTAAATCTTACAGTAATGCATCCAAGAGATGTAACTTGTGTATCTGGGAGAAGTATTTCATTATTTGTAAACCGGACATTGCTACACTTAATCGTCGCAACGAACTTGTCTCCACGTGTAGACACGCAAATAAATTTCTACTTAAAAACTTTATAACTTGATACTAATATTTTCGTGACACTACTTGAGGTGTTAATTGATTTGTAATTAGATAAGCGTCCTTTATACCATCTGTACATATTTAAAAAGTTCATTAAGAAGCTATAGGTTAAACATAGGCTATTTTAACTGAAGAGTGCCACGTTATTTACGTGGTACGAAACTGTATAGTAATAAATATGCCAAACAAAGCTTGCTAAGTTTTTGTGTCTTTCTATATATATATATATATATATATATATATGTGTGTTCTAAGCTGTACATGAACTGTTTGTTTGTCCATTCGGAGATGTTCCTTTATCCTCGATCGTATTGTTCTTCCGGTTTCTCCCACATAAACCAGATGACAATGTAAACAATTAATAAGGTAGATCGCATTCTTAACCTTGCATACATTAGTTTTAATTGCTAGTTTACAAGTATGACAGTTATCGGGGCAACTTAGCTTCTCTTTACGTGGAGCAAATATTTTTGATAGGGATGGTCCATTTACAAACTGTAATCTAATGTTTTCAAGTCCTGATCTTGACGTGATGTGAATTATCACCACTGAGCGGCAAAGATTTCGACGCATTGGTACGTCTATGTCTGACTAGTGATACTGTTTTAATTAATGGCAAAGGTTATAAACAAAAATCGGGATTAGCGATGGGGAACAATCTTGCTCCGATGCTGGCTATTATCTATATGAACGAGTTGGATAAACAAATAATTAATAGAATACTGTAATGGTTCTCTTTTCTTACGACGATTAATCGATGATATATTTATTGCATGGACATCAAATTTAATTACCAGTGATAGCTTATTGAAAACGATGAAAACATAGCTACATGTCCACTAAGGGACCGATTACATTTCTTCGCTTATGCTCCACTAAATCCAGTCGATTCACTATCTAAAACTTTAAGCGTTTATTTTTGTGCTATTTTTGGTTATATTTTCAAAATAAAAACCGTGCGTTTGCAAATTTCAGCCCAGTATGCCGGGCTGATGCGATTACATGGCGAATTTCAGCCTGGCTAGCCGGACCAGCCCGGTTGCGACAACCGCGATCCCGGCAAAGCGGGCTGGCCCGGCTGCCATGTAATCGAAGTATATAGTATATAGTAAGCGTGCTATAATAATAATAATGGAAACTTTATTTATTGATTATTAGGATATATACAACTACAATGATAAACCTCGCTTTACAGGCAGTTTATCAATGTCTACTTGAATTGATACTATATAATAATAATAATAATAATAATAATAATAATAATAATAATAATAATAATAATAATAATAATAATAATAATAATAATAATAATAATAATAATAATAACAACAATAATAATAATAATAATAACAACAACAACAACAATAATAACAACAACAACAACAATAACAATAACAATAATGGAAACTTTATTAATGGATTTTTTTTAAGTTACATACAATTGTAAATCTCACTTATATAAGGTAATTCACAATCGTCTACTTGAATCAATAATAACTATACATACACAATATAACAATAATAACAAACAACAAATATATAGTACAATTTTTAAAAGGTTAATAGTTTTGGATTTGTTCATTCTTTCTTTCTGCAGCAAAATATATAGTAAGTTGTTCTGATCGCAATCGTCGTCATTCGTCTAAAGCAGTATTTTTGGTGGTTTTACCGAAGCCAAGATCATTAAGCAGATAGATAAAATAGGTAGAGCTTCAATAGTCATATTTAGGATGATAATCAATTCATGACGCGATGCATTAAATAACGTTTAGTCATATTACAAAATTGATATCGATTATAATCACAACAAACGCTTATAATTATCAAATGGTAAAGCATTGAAAGAGCTTGATGATTCCTGCAAGGTGTTAGATATTAATGGAATATGCAATTTAGGAGCAGAGCATGACCGTAGTGTGCGGGAGTGACTTACTCTAATTAGTTTAAGGTGATTAGGCCAATTATCACTGTACGGAGCTTTATGAGTGACTTTAAGTAAATGTCACTCCCTTCTTTTCTCCAAAGGTAACCAGCCTAGTTTAATAAGTTCCTTAACGTCACTGCATGATCCATTTAGAAGCGACAAAACCAGCTGCCGCATACTGTACACGCTGGAGCCTTTTAGCTAAATATTTAGGAAGAGGATTATATACAACATCACAATAATCTAGCTTTGTAATAACTAGTGCCTCGGCAAGCTAGTGCCTCGGCAAGCGCGCAAGCCCGGTTCATGTAATCGGCCCCTCACTATAACCTCAACATCACTAGCACCCAACACTGTTCTAACACGCAAGCAACCTTTTGTATAACTACATACAACAGTATCGCATAATGCTCTATTTTTCATACCTTTTCGATTATATAAATATGGTTGAACTCAGGGTTATGGAGACTTCCATCAGCGTCAAATACTTCTTCCAATGTTTTGCTGTTGAGCTCACACAGACCTTTACCGATTCCAGACGTTTTATAATTTACTGATGCACATGATCCATCAGCGACGCAATGCATGTTACACTCTAGTTCGGTTTCTGCCTGTCTTGTTTGAATGACATGATTCGCTAAGTAAGTTTGCTCCTTTGTATGAAAGATAGCTTGCTCAACAAAGCATTCGCCCCGTTTTGTTATTTGCGAGACGAAAATAAACGCACAAATGCTTAGTAAGACAGCCATTGTAAGACTAATGAGTATACCCTTGGGCGTACAGTATACAGTCTTAACAAATTGCTAGATTATTAACAACAGCATTTGCATATGAAATTAGGCATGGATCAGGGGCAGCCGTAAGAAGATAATTGAAGTTAGGGGGGCTCTGAAAGGAGGGCGCGAACCGCCGATTAAGGGGGTCCATGGGTATGCCACCAGGAACAATTTTTGATATTCAACTCTCTGAAACACGTTTTCCTGCATTTAGGGAATTTGGAATAGAGCTGCATGAGAAAGATTAAATCTTCCTCTGCGCCATACATCTCTGCGCCATGCGTATTAAACGTGTTCAACTGTGCATTCACTTCGAGATTCACTTAGAAATTAGAATTGTTAGGGGGCTCAGCTCCCTGCTCCTAAATGTTAGGGGGGCTTAAGCCTTCTCTGGTCCCGTCGTTCCTACGGCCATGGCATGGATAGTTTAAATCAATAGTCTCAATCAGACGACTCACGGATCATATCGTGTAATATTAGTAGAGGGGAAAATGTGATTTAATTTCATTAAAGTTGGAAAAAGAGAGAGAATGTCGATGTTTCTCTATATATTCCTGGTAGTTTATCTGACGTTAAAGCTCAATTTTGGCCTCAATCGTTAAATGTTTAATATCAGAACCCCGATTTCCAAGCAATGTTTGCAGTATACATGATTGGATATACCAAAACCTGATCACGAAAATAAGCGAATAGCAACATATAGTGAAATAGATAATATAATAATCAGATAAAATAGTCAATATAAAATTGTAAATTTAAAATAGTCAATATTAAAACCCGGCAGAAATAACTATACAACCAGACACAGTACTAAAATGCGGTGCCCGACAAATAAAACTCCGGCGTTTCCGCCTATAGACTGTCTACAAGTAAAGTTATCCCCGAGCCGGCGGCGCGAAGCGCCTTGCGAGGGTACTAATTCCGCCCGGCTATTTACACCCGGGGAAACGGAAGCATTAGCCAAGTCTAAAGCACAGAATAAGGTACACAGAAGGCGTAACCCGTAATTCGTCATCAAATGCTGACGCCATGGTCCTAGCCAGTGCGCGTTTGAAAGGCATTCACCCCCTTGATATTATTCAAAATGGCGGATGTCCAGCGGGGGGAATGCCTCTCAAACCCGCACTGGCTAGGACCATGGCGTCAGCATTTTGATGATGAATCATGGCGTGGCAGCGTTACTCGAGTCGACCTTCTGTGTACCTTATTCTGTGTCTAAAGTTCATCAAATATCGCGGGCGTGACCAACGAACCTTGAGTGGGTGGTCATCCTGTCTGATCTCAAAAATATGGCGGACTGTCATGGATAGCGAACACTGATTGGTCAAATTTAAAATTTGTTGTTGTATGACAAATGAAGACTTCAACTGACAGATACTTCATGAAAATAATTTGCTTTTTACACTACAGTATTTTGTACGTTTGCAAAAAACTTTGACAGCTTTCAAAGCAATTTGTTCTATAAAAAGTTTAATAAAACAATTACGGTATCAAATACCAATTGAAAAGATATGGAGCCAAATGAAGAGCGGCAAGGAAACGACAAGAAAGCCGAGCGTCTAGCGAAAAGAAGGGAGCGAAGACGACTACGTTTGCTCGAGGAGACCGCTGAGGAATGAGAAGCTCTCCTGGGAAAACGTAGAGAAGCATGGAAAAGACTGCTGAAGCGAAAGGTAAGCAAAGGCTTGTCTTCACAACGCTATGTACCAATGATACTGTAGCTATACAAGTTGAAGTATGATATTCGACCCTCTATATTCGACTATTTCTTCACAATTTTCCAATAAAGAGTTTGTCATGACACGCTCAAGTCAGTATAACCAGACTGTATTTTATTTATATCAGTTATCACAGCCACAGGCAATTTTATGCTGTCAAATACCGTCGGTTGCAACTAAAGGTGAACAGTTGCAGATAAAACATTCTCTATTCTCATTAAAAAGCCTGTAAAGGTTTCCAGTAGGTCTCTAGCCCAACACGTTCAGACCACACAAAGTTTTGTTACTTATTATTGTACACATGGGAAACAACAATTAAGTGTTGTTGTTCTTGACAAACATTGAAGATTCTAATCACGCGAATGTTTTTATGAGCGACTGTTCATCGTTAGTTGCAAGCGACGGTACAACATACTATGAACATTTTTCCGACTGTGACCGAATGTGCAACGATATATTTTTCATGAAAGTTGTTATCAATTCCTAAAATTTGTTTATAGTAAAACGGCCTGCTCAGCACTCACTACTCACGATGATTTCATTTAGAAATGCAGTTACTAGGAAAGGAACTGATTCTAAAATATGTAAATTTAAAAGCATTGGCTAACAGAATAAAGCGATGTGAAGACAAGGTACAAACTTTTATAGTTGCTATTTGTTATAAAATCCTATAAATAAACCGATTCAACAATAATTTTGCCTCGAATTTGCATATTCTATGTTGCATGTTTATATTTTATTTTTATAGTATAAAAATAAAATTGTAATACTATGAATTAAAATACATTTCTGTTTATTGACCAGTACTTATTTAATGTCTTCTTCATCCAGTGGTCAGAGTAAATTTCTACTTCCGGCAAGTAAATATTTGACAAGCAGTCTGAAATAAGCACAGGACTTTTAATGCATCAGCCAAATCCAAGTGTGCCCATCCCCCTCGCCCAGCCATTTTCCTGTAAAGCACATCCCGGGGGTTGGGCATTTCCACTCGAACCTTAGCCCCGGCCGGGGCATTTGAAATTAATAATTTGGATTCTTGCACTTCACTTGTGGAATTAATATTAGAATGTTAGGGTTTGTAATCCAAGTGAGAATATATGCATGTATATATTTTGTAATCCAAGTGAGAATATTTTGTAATCCAAGTGAGAATATACAAATGTATAGTACATGTATATATTTTGTGTATATATTTTGTAATCCAAATAAGAATAGTTTGTAATCCAAGTGAGAATATACAAATGTATATATTCTCACTTGGATTACAAACCCTAACATTCTAATTTTAATTCCACCAAGTGAAGTGCAAGAATCCAAATTATTGAAGTTCACCTTATCACAACCCGCACACCCGATTACCTAAATATACATGAACTTACGGTTAAAGCTCAACAGCTGGCCTCTGTAGCTCAGTTGGTTAGAGCGCTGCACCGAAATCGCAGGGCCGTTGGTTCAATTCCTACCAAAGGACCTTGTGCTGCATTTTTCGCAGTCGTTCCTGGTTAGGTCTTAAAATGTATATATTCTCACTTGGATTACAAACCCTAACATTCTAACATTTGAAATTAAGGATTTGGAGGTTTTGCGATCACTGATAACTTGATAATAATATAAAACAAAGCACTTCAATCTGCAGCTTTTACAATCACTGATAACTTGATAATAATTTAAACCAGTCAAGTTGTAGTTTAAATTGAGAATAATACATTGGTGCACGAAATACCAGATTTATTTCGAGTGTTGAACATGAGTGGGCAGCGAACAAGTGAGCGCAGCGAACAAGTGAGCGCAGCGAACAAGTGAGCGCAGCGAACAAGTGAGCGCAGCGAACAAGTGAGCGCAGCGAACAAGTGAGCGCAGCGAACAAGTGAGCGCAGCGAACAAGTGAGATGTCATGTTCAACACGAAAAATAAATCTGGAATTTCCAACCACCCATGTATTTTTCTGTTTATTATATAAAGGACAGTCTTAAATGAAAAGCGATAATTTTTACAGAAAAGCGATAATTGAAAAGGCGATAATTTTCACATGTGAGATTATCATGAATAATTTCACATGTGAGATTATCATTTTTATCAGTGCTCGAAATCTCTGTAAAACACAATACTTTATATAATAAAAATTCATAAATTTGAACCATGCTAGAGCATGACAACAGCAAAATGCTCTATAGTATGATGCACAATATTTTGGGAGGTGAAATACACGAACAATAAATCAGAGAGTGTTTGCTTGGAACTCACTGGGGGGGGGGGTGCAACACCCTTGATAATTGCTCATGAGGAATTTCAGGTAGATTTCCAGTGCACTTTTAGGTAAATTTAAGTAGATTTGCAGAAGATTTTCAGGGGAATTCAGGTAATTCTCAGGACATGAGAAAGTGAATTTGGAAAACAACTGTATTTTCGGAAAAATTATTATATGTCCTGAAAATTTTTTGTACATCTGGAAACATTTTGGTAACCCCCCCCCCCCCCCCTCTATCTAACCTCACACACCCCCTGAGACGAAGTGCTAGCAACGGCACTGAGTATACATCTTTTGAAAACAGGCGAGGGGTTATTGCATGCATGTATTTCTAGTTTTATGTAAAATGTTGAAAGTCGAGCTTTTCTATGCCTCTAGTAAACTAGAGAAAATGGTCTTTCCGTAGAAGTAAATTTTAGAAACATTTTGTCATTTTATCTCAACTTATTTGATGAGTGAAAAACAAGTTCGGCAAAAAGCCGCGAAGAAACAACGGCAAACGTTTGTGTTTTCAGGACTTTCGGTGAGTAATTTGAAAAGGACACAGCGAATATGGACTAAAGTTACATCAATCTTACTTTTTCGTTTACTTTTTACCTTTTAAGGGACCGGTCATTATTTATGGCAGGGGTGGGGGCCGAAGAGAAAATGGTGGGGTAACTGAAAAATAATACTTGCTTTAGGTGGAGTGGCCAAAAAATCCTTGCATGCAGAGGTGGGGTAAAAAAACCCTTACTTTAATCACATACTAGTGAGTAGGAAGGAAAAATAACATGCCAGTTAACTGTACGATTCGCAACTGCAGAAGTGATGGATATTGCAGCAGTAATAAGGAAAATAAGCCAAAAATTTCATTTCACAGGCAAGTGTTTATTTTTGCAACAATGTAAACAATGTATTAATTAAGCCTTAGGCTGCAATAATTGTATTACACATCACCTGACATGGGTAAATATATAATATTTTTTTTATAAATTACATACTGAAAACAATTGACCATACCAGGCATACAATACACATATATATTTACAGTAAAACTATGTACAGTAAAACTACACAAACTGTAAGTACTCAATCACCACTTCCACAAGTGGCCTGAATGCCCATTAGTAACACATGTATATCACAAGTGGCAATTATTCCTAACAAGGCCCTGTAAAGGGCTCAGAGAAACAAATTGTAAAGCCCTAATTACACGAGCGCTTTTTGTCAGCGAAATGCGAAATATTTCGCCTGTTTCTTTTGCATTGCGACCACTCGAATAAATTATTTCTACTTGATTGCTCACAATTCAAAAGAAACAGGCGAAATATTTCGCATTTCGCTGACAAAAAGCGCTCGTGAAATCAGGGCTTGAAATTAACCCATTGAGTCGCACTGTGCGCCCTACTTTATTATTTTACTCCGTCTAACGCCAGACAAGCTCACTTGTCAACGGGAAAACGCTGGCGCTCACTGGGTTAATTTAACGATAAAAAGCACACTACAAAATATGAAATTAATTAGCCCTTTTCCCTGTCATATATCAAAATATGATACTATAACTACAAATGCATGTATATACAGGTTCCCTTTAAAAGATCCAATCATACTAGAAAAATGGGAGAATGCAGTTATGAAAATAAACGACAATGGCCAAGTGTGGAGAGCTACTCGATACAGCTTCATATGCAGTAACCATTTTGAACGATTGGATTACATTGTTCCTCCAACAACTGCAAAAGGGACCTGTAGATTAAAAAAAATGCAGTACCATGAGTATTTTCAATATTGGATATACCTAACAGCAGTGATCTTTCTGATACAGAAAGGAGACAGCTCGGTCTTCCTAGAAAACGTTCACTATCACCAGATGAATCTGACTCCATGTCACCTGCAGCAAAGATCTTACATGAACATAATTATGCTAGATGCAACGAAGAACCACAAGATGATGAAGATTTAACCGAGGACGCGCAGGATGAAGAACCAGATAGATCTGAATTACAACAGAAATTAAGACAAAAAATTAAGAGTTTACCACAGCAACTGAGACGATCTAAGAAAAAAATTACAGAGCATGAAAGATCTCATTTTACATTTACAAGAAAAATTGGTCATAAGCACAGAACAGGCAGGTATACTCCATGCAGCATTTGACAACCTACAGTTATCGCTTTTTCAAAATGCAAAAGACAACTTAAGCAGTACACCAACAGATAGAAGATACTCTGACGAAGTGAAGGAATTTGCACTAACATTATATTTTTATTCTCCCAAAGCATACCGGTATGTTAGGTCTATAATTCCACTACCAAATCAAACTCTCCTTCGGAAGTGGTCATCGTCTGTTAACTGTGAACCAGGCTTTTTTAAGGAAGTATTTACTGCCTTGGCAAGTAAAGTCAGCAGAGATGCTATTAAAAAGGATTGCTGCTTGATTATTGATGCTATGGCCATCAGAAAACAAACAATATGGGACACAAAGAAGGATTGTTATGCTGGTTTTGCGGACTATGGCCAGGGAGGACCGATCCTTGATGATCCGGAGACGTTAGCTTCGGAAGCACACGTTTTCCTGCTGGTTGAAGCTAGAAGCCATTGGAAATGCCCAATTGGCAACTTCCTTACTGATAAGATCTCATCTACATACCAGGCACAATTGATAAACATGGCACTCGAAATGGCAGCTGAGGCAGGGTTAAAGGTATGGTCTATAACGGCAGATGGAACGTCAGTCAACCTAAGCAATTTCCGGAAGCTAGGCTGTCAATTCGGCACAACATACGACACCATTGATCCAAAATTTAAACACCCCACCACAGGAGAAGATGTATTTGTTGTTACAGATCCATGTCATATGCTGAAACTTGCTAGAAATGCATTTGCACACCTTGGCACAATTATTGATAATGAAGGGGAAAAAAATACAGTGGCAGAATTTTCAGCAACTGTACCTCCTTCAAGAACAGAAGGGATTGAAGATGGGCAACAAGTTATCACCCAACCACATCAAATTCGAAAAGCACAAAATGAATGTTCGGCTAGCAGCTCTGACGTTAAGCTCTTCAGTGGCTGATGCAATAGAATTTCTTGACATTGGTATGAAAAACTCCAAATTCCAAAACAGCAGTGGCACTGTCAAATTTATCAGAACAATCGACCGTCTTTTTGACATGCTAAATTCAAGAAGTCCAATTGGAAAAGGGTACAAACAACCACTACGACAATCGAACAAGAATGTGTATGAGGAAATTTTGAGAACAACAGCCAATTACCTCCTTCAACTCAAAACAGATTCAGCCAGTCCACAGCAGCTGGCAACGCGCAGACGGAAGACCTTCATCATTGGTTTCGTCGCATATCAAATCAACGATTGAGATGGCTGATCAAATGTTTTCAAAACCTGGTGATCCCTTCAAGTACCTGCTAACCTATAAATTTTCGCAGAACCACATCGAACTCCTGTTTTCCTGTATTCGATCGAAGGGAGGCTGGAACAATAACCCAAACTGCTTACAGATAAAGTACTGTATGCTTTACGACAGCTGTTGATGAGAAATGCTGTAACTGCCTCTAAGAATGCCAATTGTATAGATTTCGAAGACAACAAAACCACTACAATCATTCCTATTCTGCACAAAATAAAGCATAGGTCACCACTTACAGAAATGTCCACCCAGGATCAGAATGCTGACATGTCAGATGCCCTAAATTCACAGGAAACTGCTGAAGAAAATTTCATGTATGAACAACTACACCAGAACAGCCACTCTGATTTTATATCTAATATATTGTTTTACATTGGGGGATTTATTGTCTCTAAACTTGTAAAGAAGCTCACCTGTCAAGCATGCAAAGAATGTCTTGTTGGTGAGGTTACGTATACTCCAGGCATGAAAGCATCAGATCGATCGCGACTATTGTGGACCATCAACCTACAGTCAAGTATCTTCAGCTTCAGCGTTTACTTTGTTTGCCAACAACGGCGGATTGCGTATACCATCAAAGTCTGTTTACACTACAATCGAACATTGTGAACATATATCTTCAAGCTGTATGTCTGCCATAAAGGCAACAGCATCAACAACATGAAGAACCTAAAAACCAAAATGATTCTGGAAGTTTGTCATAAATTTCTCCTGGACGGCAACAAATCTGTGTTTGCACGTGCTAGGTGCAAACGAAGATATGGTCGAAGATGACCACCAAGTAAAGCTCATCAAGTGGACATCAGACAAATATTTTACACTGCGTGTCTTCACGAACGGGAAGCACTACAGCGAGACAATTATACAAAATGGAATGCCCAGTGACAGGCACCATTTAAACAAGTTGATCTTGTTCAAAAATCAATAGTTAATATATCAAATAAGAGTAAAATAACACAATTTTGTCAATACTTATCTTTTAATTAATAATTCGTCGGCCTGAGTCTACAAATATAGCCGAAACTGAACCAATTCTTTGCGGTTGGAACGTTTGACTTTTCAGTCGACAGTATTAAACAGTATAAAACAAAACGATGCCGCTCGATAAAACAACGTTAATACTCGATTGATTGTGTCTTATTATCAAGAAATATACTTTTTATTAGAATTGCTGTTTAAAAGAGTTCAAAAATCTTACGCATTTCAAGTAAAAACCCGAAATTTTTTGGTCTGTGAATCCACACTTGTGAAAATATTTTAACACGCTTTTTCATGCCGAGCATGCTCCGACTCCTCGTGACAAGCCCACGCAAAAATCACGCGTGTTTTATACCTACAAAACGAGCTTCAATTTCCGCCATCTTGGCTTCAGGCAAGTATGGGCATGTTTATCAGCAGTTATCGTTCCAGTATATAGTACAGTTCACTGGGTTGCCCCATTCCCGCATTCCCGTTCCCTATTTTAAAGATAGCCGTCTTGGACGATTTCACGACGCGAAAATACAATTTACACGTCTTCTGTAGAACGTCACAGATTTTTGCTTCTTTTGAAAAAAATATGAGACTATGTATAATAAAAATTATCCTATTTTGTTCCCCATGTATTGTTTAATGTCAAGTTTTTTCATTGACAAGCTTGTTTTTCTTGTATTTCGCTAAATTTTAGACGAGTTGATTTTCGACAAATACTTTCGGTCGCCATAAACAAATCAAGTTAATAACCACTTCAATACTGCTAGTACTCTTCACCAAAACAAATATTTTAGAACAAACTAAACTGAAGTTATATTAACAACTGTTTAAAATCAGGAAAACGTGGGAAAATAGAAAAATAAAAGCACTTAAAAGCAGTGAAAACTCAATCAATTTTAGTTGCTCTATCACAACAGTGAAAATAATGTTTTGGTGCCAGTGCGTCCAACATTGATTATAAATGTAAGGTAATTGATGTCTTTCCTCTTTTCTTTTGCCAGTAGGTTTTGAATAAGACTCTGATTTAGACCAACGAAATCATTTAAAACCAACACTAGGGTTTCGGAACTCTGGCTATTTAACGATTCTGCAAATCCTTTTATTATCGAAATGGGCAACCAACCGTTACCAGAAAGACAACTTAAATCTGCTGCTATAATATCTTTGCCAAGCACTACTCTATCATTGCTGTTTTGGAAGAGAAGCTTTTCATATGTGGCTATCAGCAACTGATTGGGTGAGGTGCAATATCCACTAGGCGCTGATACATCAATTTTAAACCATCTTTTCTCTTCCAGTACACTTCTTCTAATTTCAATCAATTCATGGATTTTTAATAAAGTCTGCAAAGAGGATTTCTCAAAGGTGCCCAACGCACAAGAAATGGCACTGTATTTCCCAACATTGATGGATTCCAACATTGTCTGACAGTCTGACATGAGTGGGATCATTGAGATATCAAAGAACTTCGTATACCCAGATGAAAAGTCTGAGTTCCTATTTGGCAGATTGATGGGAACAGAATATCTGATAAAATGCTTCGATTGATTTTATTAAACCTTTTACTCTCAATGATATCCTAAATAAAATACAAGTAAATTATATTTTTAATTAAAAATCAATTTTAATTTGTATATATGCCCTTATTGAAAGGACCCACTGAGACAATATACAGGGTAAAATACTTGTGGGTGCACATTGCTGAATTTTCGGGTAATGGGTAAACTGAGGAATCTGCGCTAGATAGTTTTGTTAACCATAAACATGCAGTATCTTATTAATGACAATTAAAATTATCTTGTGTTAGACTATACTATATATATATAGTAGGTAGAGTGCATTGATCTGGGGGCATCTCTTCTATCTTAAATTACATTTCAGGCATGTGTATATTTGACTGGGGCTATTTGGAAAGAAGGGTTTACAGTCAGGAGTGCTAAGGGTTAGGCGGTTTCCACTTTCCAGCCTAATATTAGTCCCTAGACCAATGGCGTAGCGACGTCCCCCACTCTCCTTCAGAACCACCTTTGAGATATGTTCAAATCCGTTGAAAAACTGTGGAGGGAGGGGGGCGGTGGGTAACACCGGTCCGATTTTTAGCTAAAAACAGAAAGCTACACCATTGTAAATAGGAAAATTAGGAAATTGCATATATAATCCTGGAAAAAATTAGTAGACTTTTTAAAGTTCCAATCTTTGTCCCACCCCCCCTTATACAATGTTTGTACTTAGGTGATACGTGTTGCAAATCAACTTTACCTTAACCAACATTGTTTCCGGGGAGGGGGGGGTTTAAAAAAGGTAAATAGTTGCTTCGAATGAAAAATGCTTACATTTTCAATATATGTTTTCAAATTTGGGTGTATTGCTCGAAAAGTCAAGAGATATTTTTTCCGAGACTGCATGTAGTTCAGAGTGCTAAAATTTTCTATTTTTCGTGTGTTTTAATGTCATAATCTTCTGAATCCTGTAAAATTTCACTTTAAAATTAGGTAGTTCAAAGTCTTAAAATGTAATATTTTTGGTGTATTTCATGATGTTATAATCTTCTGACCCCAAAAATGCACGAAATGGGCATCATATACGAAACATAGGCTCTGAATTTCAAAATTTTCCCGGGGGGAGGGGGTGCATGCTTCCGCATCCCCTATATTTTTCGCCATGAGCGTACGAGCCTAATCCTCTTTGGGGGGCAACGAAGCCTCGAGTTGGTCAACCTGGTGAACCGGTAGCAGAACTTACCAAATTTGGTTGGAACTTGTTGTCACCTGGAACCGAGGACGATCTAACCAAAACAATGTTTGCAAAATCATCAGTGGAAGATTACCGGAAATTATGCGACTTGGATATACTTGGCTTAGAAAGCCAATTGGATGGAGACGAAACAGTCTACCAAGATTTCAAAGATCAACTGACCCAGAACCCGGAAGGATGGTACGAGACAGTGTTGTTATGGAAACCAAACACGGACAGTATGCCAAGTAACAAAGCAGGATGTTTATCAAGCTTGACAAAATCATCAATCAAGCTTGACAAGAAATCTGAACTTTCCAACGGTATCGTGAGATAATTAAGGAACAGGAAGAGCAGAGGATTATTGAGAAAGTGACACAACAACCACAAGGAAGAGAATTCTATCTGCCACATAAGCCGATCGTAAGGGAGTCTGCTGAGAGTACAAAGGTGCGCATAGTCTACGATGCGTCAGCGAGAGCCAATGACGACTCGCTATCTCTGAATGATTGCTTAGAGACGGGGCCGGCATTACAAAATCTCTTGTGGAATATTCTAGAGCGTAATCGATTCAAGCCAGTGGCACTAGCAGCAGATTTGAAACAAGCGTTTTTGCAGATAAGGATCAAGGCGAAAGATCGTGACGCGCTAAGATTTCGCTGGATTAACGAACAAAACCCTGATGACATCGAAGTCTATCGATTTACATGAGCTTTATTCGGACTGAATCAATCACCATTTCTATTAGGAGGAACACTCGAACAGCATCTTAGCAGTCAAGAAAAGGAATTCCCTGCTGAAGTAACTGAAATAAGGGATGGTCTGTACGTCGATGATCTTCTGACCGGAGGCTGCCTGGTTGAAGAAGTAAAACATCTGAAAGAAACAGCAATAGAGATCTTTGACCGAGCACAATTCAAGCTTCATAAATGGCACTCAAACA